TTGCAGCGCCTGGGTTTTCTCCATGCTGCTCTTGGCACGGGGATGTGGGCTGAAGGTGTGGGAACGCCTGCGAGGGTCCCAGAGCTTCCTTTTGCTCCTCGAGCCTCCTGGAGGCTCCTGGCCTCGCTCTCTTGTTTAGTCTGGTTGAGCTCAGCGCCGTAGCTCGCGCTGTCCTGGGTGGGATGGTTGGTGGGTGATTCATCCAGCCTGCTGTCCGCAACTGCTGGGCGCTGGCACGGCCGCAGTGGAAGGACTGAGGCAGGCTGAGGCTGTTGGATGCTGTGTGCCAGCGCTCTGAGCCTGCTCCCAGCCATCTGCATTCCTCAGCCCCTGCTCCTGCCCGTCTGAGCCTCCTGCCATGAGAAATGTGCTCCCTGGAGAGCGCATTGCCAGCTCAGCCTTGCAGCCTTGCTCCTCCTCCTTCTCCTCCAGAGATGCACTTGAGTTCCTGGGTGGTTATCCCAGAGTGCCACCAGTGGGATGATGGCCAGTGCTGTGGCCAGAAGTCTGCAAAGCTTCCTGGGATGGGAACCCCTCTGCAAGCTCCAAGTTTGCTGACATTTTCGTTGTTTTAAGAGAAGCCACACCAACAGAGTCCATGTAAAAGATGCTTAGAAAACCAAAAAGAGGAGATTTGCCAATCTCCACAGTCATGCCTGTGGATAAGGATGAGGCAGTAGCAAGGGGTTGCACTGGGGAGAGAAGGGAAATGCTACCTGAAGGGAGCTGCATCTCCCTGACAATTATCAGTAGAAGAGAGATGGATTTTCAAAAGCTGCCTTGGGAAAGCATGGAAGTGAGGGAGAAGAAAATCTTGCAAGGATATTAACTCCTTGCACTTAGGAGTGTCAGCATCCCATTGCTGAGCAAAACTGCCCCATAATTTGTAATCAGTGAGCAGCAAGTGACATTTTTTGCTCTGTGCACAGCATTTTCCATAGTGATATTGAGCTCTGCTCTGGGCTTTTTACCACTGAGAAGTGAACACAGGTGAGGCATTCTCAGAGGAGCCAGTTATTTGTCCTTGATATCTGTAGCAGCTTATTGCTTTATTTAGTGTGACATCAATTATTTATTACTATTAATGAAGGACACAGATGTCTGTCTGGTCAATAAAATATCTCCTACTCCACAGAGATGATCTACTTAGCTATCATTTACTCTGCAGAGAACCTTTGGATTCTTTCTGAAATTTAATAACACGAGCAAAGATACACAGGCAATCTAGAAGGTTTGTGCTTCAGGGCTGCTTTGGGAGGCTGAAATCCTTCTTTATATTTGCTGGCGCGGTGTGTGAGAACACAAGTCCAGATGGGAAAAAAAAGCCCCTTTGCTTTCCATCACAAGCTACTTATCCGTGTAATCCCTTTTATAAAGTGATCAAACTCCTTCCTAAAAGATGGTTAGGTTATTTGCCCTTTGCAGGAGTAGACCAACCATTTATCCATGTCCAATTTACTTCCTCTTGCCATTACTGCCCATTAACCTAACTATTCCTTTTCCATCTGAGTGCCTGCCCTGTTGATGTGTTCACAGTTGTGTGTCTCTATTTGGCTTTTTTTTTTCCTGTTTTTATTGGTAGATTTGAGTTTTTTGTTCTTTCCCTGTGAAATCTCTCCTGCTTTTCCTGTGCCTTAGTCTTGAGCACAACTGAGGAATGCTGTGCACTCAGCTCTCACATGGCCTCATGCAGGTAGGTCAGTGTTCTGCTGCTGCTACATGATCTCAGGATCACTTTTTCTTGGTAGGGCACCATTACTGGTCAATCAAGTGGCCCAGGTATCCAAAGCTAGGTTGGACAGGGCTTGGAGAAACCTGCTCTAGTGGAAGATGTCTGCCTGTGGTTGAGGTCATGTGAAAAGATCATCTTCCTTGTCCCTTCCAGTCCAAACCATTCTCTGATTTATGATAATTCTCTCACCATTCCACCAAAAGCAGTTGTTGCTTTAGCTCTCTTCCACTGACAAAGTCCCAGTCTAAATCTAGGGAATAACTTGTTTTCTGCTCCTAAAGAAGTCTTAGGAAATTTCATTCCAGCTGCTCTCAGAGCACTGAGGACTGAATGGTCTCTGCCTTGTCTTTTGTGAGATGAACAAATAATCTCTGTGTGCTCTGCTTTGCCCGGGGGAGAGCATGGCATAGCAGCTCCCTGTGCTGGCTGCAGACTGACAGCTCTGGGTAGCTGGCTTGTCCCCAGGGTGTCCCTTCCCTGTCTTTGCTCCATGGTCTGTGCAGTCTGGCACCACCAGTGATCTCACTGCTGCTTGTACAGGTACAGAAAAACTCCCAGCCTTGAGGCTGAAGTTCCAGCATCTTTGTTAGCATCTCTTTTTATGTTTTCATAATAACCTCTTTGCTTTACAGAGCCAACAAAAGGGGAGAGTTCCCCAGAGGTTCACCATTAAGCAAAAAGCACCCTCTTGCTTTGTGGATTTTATTGCAAGGGATTTGGCTCAATCCAAGTGGAGACACTTGGCAGACCCTGCAATCTTCATTTCCTCCCATACAGGGGGACAGAAATGCACTGCACAGCCTGGTCAGGTCTGATCCATGGCAAACCACAACACCATGGGAAGCAGCTGCAGCTGCATGTCAGGGCAGTGCTCCCTGCCAGCCTGTTCCATCAGAACTACCCAGAAAGGCCATGGAAGATGAGCTTTCAGAAGTTAGTGCATGTCCTAGAGAAAGTTAGTGTGCAACTTTAATCCTAGAATGTTCTGTGTTGGAAAGGACCTGAAAGTTCATCTCATTCCAGCTGCCCTGCCATGGGCCTGTCCTGCCCTTCCATGAGACCAGGTTGCTCCAAGCCCCGTCCAACCTGGCCTTAATACATTCTTTGATTCAGTGGTTGCACATGATGTTTTCCATCTCATTTCCAGTCTGGTTCCACCCTCTCCCTGTCTCAGCCCATCCCATCTCTTGTGCTCCCTGGCACAGATGTCCTGGCTGATACTCCTACCTGGGGACTGCCCAGTCCAAATCTCCCCTGGCCTCATCCAGCTCTCACTTCAATCCCTGCCCAGCTATTTTCTTTCCTTGCCCTGATCATTTGCTGAGAGGAAGGTGTGAGATCTCACAGCATTCATCCATGGGATGATCTGTCCCCCCATGAAGCTTCTTCCTGGTCAGAAGGGAAGTTGCTTGAGGCTGGAAGAGCCTTAAAGCCCCTTGCTCCTCTTCAACAACACATTCTGGTCCTGCTTCTTTGTTGGTGATTCATGAGGTTTGTAAGTCACGGCAGAGTCTGTTCTCAATGACTCCTGGTGACAGGGAGTTCCCCAATCTAGCCCAGCATCGTAGGAAAAGGGATGGAAATGAAAATTGGAATTGAGTAATAGGGGCTTGTTTGTTTATTTAAACCATAAACCCAGAGCTGAGGGACTTGCTGAAGGCTGGGTAGCGCTCGTGACTTCCAGGCAGGGATTTTCCTGCTGCCAACCCAACCTGCCTGTTGAGTTGTCTTGGGATTTGGGACAGACCTGCATCCAGGAGCTGGGTTCAGCTACAGAGACTGGTGACAGAGCTGCCTGGAAAAGTTTGGAAAGAACAAGTCGTGCTGGGAGCATTAAAATGAATAATTAAGGCTTGGATTCCTTCAGGGAGGAAAAGAATTTATTGCTGCTCTTTTCTCTAGCCAAGGGGGACATTTGTTATTGAGTTGTGTATTTTGAGACAAGACGCAAATGCAGTTTAGGGGGCTGGGGATGAGGGGATTTTTTTTCTTCTACCTGGGTAATTCAGCTTCACTGTGGGATGTTCTGGGCTAGTTATACCAATGGCTTGTTGCTTAGGGTCTGTACCAAGAACCTGGACTGCTGCTTCATTTCAGTACTCTTCAGTCACTTTTGCCTTTAGAAAAACAAAGTGCTGAGAAGGGAATTCTCCTCCTCCCTCTGCTGCGATGTCCTGACATTTCCACATGCACATGGTACCCACCTCAGCAATCTGGGCCCAGGTTGGCTTACACCAGCATAACTACCACCTATAGCAGCCCTTGCACCAATTCCCATCACTGGGAATAGGGCACAGCCTGGGCAGCTGCTCTATCTTATTTTCCTCCGTGATACCTCAGGCTTTCAGTTCCACCAGTGTGAAATGGGAATTAAATGTAATGAGCTCTAACCAATAGACAGGCTGCCCACTGCGAGGAGACAGGTTGCACAGCAGTGGACAGTCATGCCCAAAAACCTTAATAAATGGAGCGTTTTCAGTTTCAGCTGGATCATGATCTTAGTGTTTAATAGACTTTATAAAGCAGAAGACCAAAAAGAAAGGTTTTTCAGTATTTTTAATTAGTGGGTTTTTTCTTCAAATGCTTATAAAAAACCAAGTGTTCTTAAGCACGACTGAAGGAGCTCCAGTCAGAGTTCCAGGAGCTGGCAGAGTGCAGATGAAAGGGAATGCAAAGGTACTGGCTGTCACTGAATTAGGAAAAAAAAAAAACAAAAACAAAAACAAACCAAAAAAGAACAAAAAAGCAGCCATCACATTGAGAGCAATTCCACCCAAGCACAAGAACTGTCTTCTTTGCTATTAGTCCAACATAGCAGAAACACCTTTGCTGTGGCAGGTAATTTTTGGAAAAGGCCATGCCCTGTTTAAGAGCTGGACATGCAGCAAGGGCAGGAGATCTCTGTTTATCCAGGCTTGCAGATCTTCTGGAGCCCATCCCTGGAGGGTGGTTCTGCCTGCAGGGTCTGCAGTGAGGCCACACGTCCCCTGTGTGCTCTGTGGTTGCAGCTGGCCATGCAGTGATTAGCCCTGGTCCCCATTCCTGTCAAGCTCCCTGCTACAGCTGGTGGCCCAGGTGTGTTTCCTACTTGCCTTGCCCATAGGTGACATTCTCCACAAAGACCTGGGGCATTCCACATCCACAGCCAGCTGCAGTTTGTTGAGTGTGTGTCCTGCGTAGAGATGTTCCTACAGTGATTTTTGAGTGGTCAGCAGTAATTCCACACCTGTACTGATGTTCTGCTCTCGCTGCTCTCTTTGCTCTGCAGGAGAATCCTTGAGCTTTGCAGATGATTTGCTCTCTGGCCTCGCAACCTCCTGTGTGGCAGCGGGTCGGAGCCATGGAGATGTCCCTGACACCAGCCTCTATTCAGTCATTTTCAAGTGCCTGGAACCAGATGGTCTGTACAAGTAAGGAGAGATATGTGGGGAGCTGCTGGGGCAAGGAGGGATCTCCAGTGCTGTTGTTGAATTGTTACTGACCTTTTTGGTCAGCACTGTGTTACACCAGACACAGGGCAAATGGTCACACTCTTCCTGATGCTTTGGGTGTTACTCACAGCTGGTGAAATGGAAAACCAGTGTCTGCCAGTACAGTGCTGGAGGCACTGGGAGTCAGTGGGACACTCCAGCATAGCACCTATTTGCAATATTCTGGATTTCCAGGTCCATGCCCGGTGCACAGAGTTGTCTCTCATAGATGAACTAAGCTGATGTGGTCAGATTGGAGCAAGTTGCCAAGTGCCTGGTGGGATGAAATAGATGTCAAAAGTGTGACAGTTGTTCATAAATTGCTGTTTCTCTTAATAGGACACCAAATCCTTCTGCCCGCCACCCACATATTGTGGACACTTCACTCTTCTGAGATACTTTTTGAGGGTTGAATTTTCTGTTTGAATCTTGTGGATTAATTAGTTTCCAGAACAAAGGGATAATGTCAAGATCTGAATTTTAACTTCTCCTTAAATATAATTTGGACAGGATCTGAGCTTTCCAACCTGGCTCATTAACCAGGGCATCCTCTGTCTTGAGAGGAATATCAGGAGTCAGATCAGTAAGAGAGGAAAAATAGAGCAAAGAGGCAAGGAGACAGAGGAGAGACAGAGTAAGCAAGAGAGAAACACCCAGGGCTTAATGTCAGAGTGACTGCAATAATTAAAACACATTTTGTAGTGAGTAATGAAACTTTTTATGGGACCACAAAAGCATTTAAAGTGAGAGCTGGCAAACAGTCTGTCAGCGAGAACTTTTTAAGACCTTGATTAATACTTTCCCTCCACCACCCCCCAGTTAAGTATGTTGACAGCCTCCAAAGCCTTTATTGCACATCCCTGGAGCAGGGCTGCCTCCAGGAGTGGGCTCCAAGTGATACCTCTTGCCATTTAATAGTATCAGACATTTTCTTGCTAAATATCTATAATGCATAAATATAATTCTTTATATCCCTGGGAACTGGGCTGCTCTGAAAAGGTGCCAGGGAGAGGCTGGAGCAACCTGACGTCCATAAAACTGGCCCATTGTGAGCTCTCAGCTCCCAGCTGCCAGGGGCACTGGGACAGGGAAGAGCCACTGGTTTTGATGGAGACTGCTGCCTTGAAGAGCACATGGAGCTGGGAGCCAGCAGGTCTGGCTTTTGGGCAGCCTGGGCTGCCAAGGCATCTTCCCCATCTGCCAGGCAGGGGTAATTGCACTCACCCGTCGCTTTAGGGGCTGTGTGATTTAATTCCTGGTGTCTGCAAAGGGCTGGGAGAGCCTTGGGTGGAAGGCAGAGGGCTTTGTCCGGGGTTTTGTCATCCCTGTGGTCAAAGCCAGGCTTCTGCTTCCCAGCCCCAAGGCGCATTGCCATGGAGGTGGTCAGCAGAGTTGGCAACGCCCTGTGCCCTGGGGGTGGCTCCTGCTCTGTGGATGCCCCTGGGCATGAGACAGCAGCTTTTGTGGGGAGCCAGGGCTGCAGGCAGCCAGCAGGCAGCAGTCCCCTGGCACCAGGGAGCTCTGGAGCTTGTCCTGTGTGGGGACAGGCCCCAGGGTGACGCACAGTTCTGGCTCTGTCCCACAGCTAATGCTCAGCAGGGCTTGGCTCTCCGCTCCCGGGGCGGTGCACACAGAGCACATGGACGGGCACATGTTTGTGTGGGCACCTCTGGGGCACAGACCCACTCTCCTGGGCATCCAAAAATGCATGTGGGCACACCACTCCTCCCTGGCTGCTGCTGCTGCCTGCCCCAGCACATGGCATGGACTGAGAGCCCCCTGCTCCACACTGGCAGGAGCTGGGTCCTGTCTGCCCAGCACACACCCGCTTGCTCCATCCTAGGCCCTACCCAGCATGTTTACTGGGCATTCTCAGATACACAGGCACCCCCATTAAATATTCCTCTGCTCAGATGTCCACACGGTTGCAACACAGCGTGAAGAAAGCCAGAGCAGTGAAATGTGAGGCTAACGCTGCTCTGCGCCCGCACAGACAGAACAACAACACAAACACGGGCACGGGGTCATTTCTTAAATTGAATTTCTTCTGCTTGTTTCATTTGTTTCTGTGGAAAAATAGCTATCTATAATAGCTCTGGGCTGGGTATAATCCTGATTATAGCCACTCGCAGGGCCCTGTGCTGTTCTCTAGACTGGGAGGTAAGCACACAGTCTGCAGCATCAGAGCTCTTCAAAAAACAAAATTATTTTCTTCTGCAGTAGTCTGAGGGTATCACATAACCCTAGCAAGGGGACTGGGAGATCATGGAAGTCTCTTCTGCCCTATAAATGTGTCGAACATCCTGTCCCTTTTCTTCTGTAGTACCTACAGCAATTACACTCTGCTGTGGACTATTCATTTGGAGTACTACCAGCCTGAGATCAAAGCTGGGCTGGAGTATGAAAACAAACCCAAAAAAATGTTCTACAAGCAAACAAATAAACAAAGTCTGATGGATTCCTTTGCTTTTGAGACTTCTGTAATTCCAAAACATAAATGAACAAAAGGAGAACTAATTTCTTTGTCCTTTGCAGTTTCAGTCTGATGAAAATGTGTTGCCAGGTCAGCCCTTTTCTTCCCCTTGCCTTTAACACACTGGGGTTAAGATGCCAGTCCCTGCATAGAGAGTTTTCCAAGGAAAGTAGATCATGTGAACAAAGGGACGTGCCCAAAGGCTCGTGTACACGTGTGGACACCCCTGCCAGTCTGCCACTCACGGGTGCCCATCCATGGAGATCTGTGTTGCATTCATGGGAATGTTCTCCCCTGGACCTACACAGGCATACTGAGGATGCTCCTTGAAGATTGTTGAGTGTTGTAGTTTTTAAAAAGCAGAAATCTTATCTTCTTGTGAAATGGAGAAGGGATTGCTCTCCCCCAAGGTCAGCTAGACTAGAGCTGTCTGTCAAGCTTCCTCCCAGGTGGATCTGAAAGAGGATGAGGTGAGGAGGGCAGAGGGAGAGATGTCGATGTGTCTGTGAAGTGCTCACCTTGCACGGACCAGGCAGCCTGGATAGCAGCCAGTGCCACTCAGATGGATGGTTTGGGAGCCTTGGGAGCACCAGACTTTGACAGGCAGCTTGTGATGAACAAAAACCAAAATAACAGTGAGGAGAAAGGGCTCCAGCTTGTCTCAGAAATCAAACTCAGCTTGGAGGACTGAGCATCCCACAGACCCATCCAATTTCTTCACTGAGGAGGCAGGAACTTCCCCTGGGCACCCCACAGCCTACCTGAGCCTTCAGCCCAGCTCATCCATCTCAGCTCTCACCCTGTTCTTGGGGAGTGCTGGGGATGCCTCATGGCTGAGCTGTACCTGCTTGGCTACCAGAAGGAACCTTTGCCAGCCCAGCACGTTTGCTCGGATGCTTGGGGAGACACCAAGTATCCCTCAGCCAAAAAGGGAAATTCTGGAAAGGGAAATGAAAACCCCCTCCAGCTCCTCAATGGAGCAGGAGTGCAAACACACCAACCTCTTCCCTGCGCTACAGATACTATAATTATAGATTAGATTAAATCCCAATGTTTCACTTTATTTACATTCCTGACCTAGCCTATTCATTTCCAGTGTTTGTGCCAAGAATCAGCACAAAATTTACTGGAAATAATATGGAAGTCATCAGGATTCCTTCCAGAGCCTTTCCTTGGAGTGTGTTCATATGCTGTGAAGAAGCCTTGACTTTACATTCCCTTTGCTGGCTCAGATGGGGTTTCCCCAGGGTGAGCATGAACCAGCCCAAAGGCTCTAGGAGAGCACGTTTCAGGGGTGTTGGAAAGGTGGAAACCTCTTCCTAGGAGCTGGAGATTCAGGACTGCTGTTGGAGGGAAGGGGATTCAGTCAGAGCTCAGAATGAGAAGGAGAATGCCTCAACACGAGGCTCCCATCTGCAGCCAGGACACACCAAGTCCTGCCCAGGCAGTGTCACCCTCTGTAGGGTCTGCAAGCCATCAGCAGCAGGGCCAGGCTCAGCTTGGCATAACATGGAACATCCCTTTTTTGGTGAACTTAAGGAAAAAGGCAGAAGTGAGGAGCAGGGAGAACCCCTCAGAGCATGGAGAGGCAGCGGCTGCGATCCCAGCGTGCTGAAGGAGCTGGCTTGGAGCAAGGCTGATTAATGCAGAGTGACCTCTGCCGTGTGCATAGCTGGGATAAAGAGTGGAACAGAAAACCCTTGGTGCTCAAGAGTGTGTTAATGCTGGCAGCAGTCCCCTGCTCCTTATATGATGCTAATTGTTGTTGTTGGTCTTTGGTCAGGAAGACACGTGAATGAGCGCTGGAGCAATCGGAGACAGATCCCAAATAGCTCAGTGGCATGGGTTAAAACACATCTGTTACAGCCCTTGGCCAGGTCCCCTGTGTGCACAGGAGCTGTGCTGCTTCCTTGAATCCACCTCTCCCATTCCACGTGCTCTCCAGCTTCCCAAAGCCGAGCTGTAGTTTCTCCTCAGGCGCTCCTGGTTTGCGGAAGCTCAAACAAGGCAAGTCAGGAGCTGAACAAGTGTTGGTTAAATCCTGGGCCTGTACTCCAAATGCAGGCTCATTCTTTCTCAGTACTTTGGGGTTGTGCAGAGCCAGGCTGCTCAAATGCTGGCTCAGGTGTGTAGTTGTTTTTGCTAAAGTGAGTCCAGCACAGAACCCTCTGGGCTCACCTGGGCTGCGTGTGGATCACTGGCTCACAGGGGGATTGGTCTCATGAAGGATGGTGTGTACAGGGAGGTCAGGGGCTCAGCAGGAGGGCATCATCTCTCTGCACTGATTTTCATCAAGTCTCATTTATGGAGGTGGGTTAGGCTCCTGCTGGGGTTCCAGCATCAGGAGGATACACATCTAAAAACCACAGAGAAGACATTCATTTTTTTTTTATGACCAGTCAAATCTGGGGGCTCTTTCCATCTTCACCATTTACTCTGCTGAGTGATTTAAGGAGATCATTTGGTC